ATATACAATGACAGAAAACATAAAACATATTCCGATTTTAAAGAAGAACCTAGTATAGATGAAAAGGTTTCTATTCATACTGTACTTCCATTTAAAAAGCGTTTTGGTCTAATGTTGTTCTCCTTTTGGCTTCCCATTTAATCTGAGTTTTGATAAATGTTATAATATTGTTCAGTCTGTGCAACAAGATATATTGATTCTAATAAACAACAGTGTTGTTCTCATGCTAGCTAGATTCACGTCACCAAAGATTTAAAGGGATGGTTCACCCCAAAATGAAATTCTGTCTTCATTTACTCCTCTTCGTGTCATTCCAAACTTGTACAATTTTTCTCTGTGGAACACACAGATGATATTCTGAAGAAGGTTTCAACCGTTGTGTTCCATATAATGAAAGTCATTTGGGTCCAACTTTCATTGTGTAGACAAAAAAAAATCAGAGGCAAGTTTCAAAATATTTTCTTTTGTGTTCTGCAGAAAATAATCAGCATGTTTTTTTGGCTGAACTGTCCCTTTATAAATATTAGACCTCATGTCATCTTTCTTCACCTTCACTTTGGACCTCGTGCTTATTTTTTTCAAAAACTTCATATGAATCAAATCACAAGAATTCCCATGAAGTCAGCAACTCATTTTTTCATGAGATTGGGTTGATGTATTGTTGGGGTCCCCTGGTTAGTTTATTGCCTTGGGAAAAAGAAATCACAGGGCACCCCTTAGAATCATCCCCCAGTCATCGTGCCCCTGGGTGCGATTAAGGTATCAAAATCAATTCAGTACACATTCTTTTCACCATAAAGTGTAATGTTGCACCTGAGCTTACCTGACACCTCTATTCTTGCCTGACCAGAATGCATCCCAGTCCTCCAAGGCCTTGCACATGCTTCTCACTCAAAGCTCAATTCATCTGTACACATTTGCTTAGATATTTGATTAAATAGACAGATGATGGGGTGGTATTTGAGTATGAAGGATTGCAGCTTCTTTCAAAGACTTCCACTTAATTGCAGCAAAAGAGGAGAGCAAAGTCACGTCATGCCGGCGCTCAAGGTTATCCCTTTATCCAACATCTGAAAGCAGCAGAATTATTATTTATTTTTTTTTTATTCATTTATATATTTATTTTTTGACACCTGAGTCAAATAATTTAAAAAGATGAATGTTCTAACAGGTCAAATCAGGGCGTGCAAGTAATATAGTTAAATTATAGTTCATGAAATCAAAGCATGGAAGATAAAGCTATTTAATTCAAAGGGATGCATTTAAGGTAACGAATGCCGTCAAAAAAGAAAGTGCTAAAGACATGGAGGAGTGACAACTGTGAGTGCTGTGAAAATGTGTGGGAGGTTTAAAACAATGGATTTGAATCAGTGATGGATTTGTTGAGTTCACTGAGCTGGAACATTAGGAATGTAATGATTTGAGTAATCAACAAAAAAGTTCCCTAGACGTCATTCCCCAACAACTAACCCTCAAGTTTTAGAGGTAGGCCTATATATATATATATATATATTAATGAACAGATTCAAGTTTTATATGTTAGATCAATGCTGATGACATAGACCCCAAGACAAGAGTATGACGTGCTCAGACTACATCTGACAGGCAGAGATTAATTAAATGTAAGTCGTGACCCATTTCAGACATGTAGGTGGAGCAAAAGACCTGAAAAATAACAACATTACATTAAACAAATGATTCATTATCCTTGTGCAAACGCACTTGGTGCAATTCATTATCTCTGTTCTCCAATCTCCATAATTTTGGCTCAACCTGAATAGATGCTGGTGCCCTTTGCTTGTCTTGTTCTAGTCAGAAAGTCTTATAAATTCAGCTCATGGTTGCTATTTGTTCAGTTGCTAACAGGGACCTTCCTGCCCCAATGTAATCTCACCTCATTAACATTTTAGGTGACAAGACTGCCATGGCCCTTATCAAGAATTCATGAGTAAGGCTTATGGCCAAATTAACATTTTAGAGACAATAATTTACAGTCCTCTGTATGTCTGTTTGGGCGTGTGAGGGAGAGAATGAGAAACTCTTGCTTTGTTAGTTCTTGAACACAGTGGGTGAACAAAAGGCAAGTACATTTCACACACATTGCATTTGGAATGGTCTCCTCAAGGAGTAGCTACAGTACTTCCTCAAGTAGGACTAGAAAGGTTACCTGGAGTGTAGTGTTAATTAGATTCAACTTAACACATCTATAGGCAGCTTTTGTGCTAAAAACGCTGCATTTTATCCTAATTAAAGCAGCGAGATGGAACTCTCACGCTCCACAAAGACAGAGCAAAACCCCAAAGAACACGAGGCTGCTTTCTGCCCTTTGTTCGCATGGAGTGAGATGCTATCTATTACCTAGCCGTAAACAGCGTGAGAGTCTCCGTCTCAGCGCCTACCGTTGACACCCGCCTGCCTGAGAGGGGGCGTAGTGCTGAGAGGAGGATTTTCACACAAACAACAGAGACTAAAGACAAAGCGGCGCGGAACAAAAAAACACGTCGAGGTGGCGGTGTGGGCACAGACTGGTGCCGCAGAAGTGTGCGAGCACGGCCGGTCTGTGGGCCAATCTGTGGCGCCGAGTCCTGGCAGGGAAGGAGCAGCCTCGCGCGGTGACTCACCTTCTCTGTCAGGACAGCGGCATTATGCTGCGGTGAGTGTGCAGCAGTGATCACACCCACCAATTACACCGAACTCAGCTCACTTTCTTCACCGTAGCATATAGCCTACTGTCGGCGGCACGCGGGCCAGAGGTGCTTCACATGCTGCCACTTTCGGTACAACCTGATCAGACACAAACTGGACACTCGCAGCTTTAGTGAGCCCACAAAAAGGTGCTTTGTTCCAGATGCGCGAACACGGGTCACTCACGAACGCCTTCTACAATCCATCATCATCCGTGTGACATGTCTTAACCCACAGTTTACCGAGAGATATTTTCAGTCGAAAAACTAATTAAGATGCCAGGTGCATTTCTGAGTAAACCACCAGAAATGGCAGCATGAATTAAACACCTGACACATTAGCCACTAAGTTGTCAAAAACTCCTCCTAAGGTTTTCTCCTTGTATGCCAGTGGTGTTGAAAGCGTATGTATTTTTCCCAAAAAATATGTACAGATGAATAAAGAGTGGTAGAGCCTCTGGCAGTTTTAGTTGCCTGTAGGCCCAACTCAGTTCTAGACCAAAGAGAAAACAATGCATTACAGAATTTAAAATGTGATGATATAATCTAAAATAAACCATTCACAATTTTAATAAAACGTACTGTGCACAATCCTTACATTTATATGATTTTTTACAAATGTAAAAGGATACATTTTATTTTTAAAGGACTTTTATATTTTTATGTATTGAATATATTTAAAAATATATAAAAATATTTTATATTTTTAAGTGTATAACATTTATTGAAAAAATACATTTTGATAAACAGTCAAATTTATTTTTATAATGTTGTGTTTGTGGCTATTTCTGTTCATGGTGATGTTGTTGTCAAGTTCATATAGCTAACCTTTGCAATATGCTATTTTTATCACAAAAGGTCTGGTCTCATAGAAGATCAGAGAGTGATCACATGCATCTTGAGTCGTTTTCATCTACGCAATACATGATGTGCAACAGCATGATTTCGTAAGCCGAGACGCTCCACGCTGAGCGTTTTATGACGTTATGCGTTGAATGTTTCGTGGGTGTGCACTGCCCTCTGCTGGAGCATGAACACACGGACACAGCTAAAACCAACACGAATGTAAGAGGCCGCTTGCCACTTCACGTTGAAAAACTGTGATTAGTTTTATTTAATCCCATTTTGTGGTAATTACCTCGCAAACATTCACTCAGAATAGACTAATTAATTGCGTCTGTTGTGATTTAATCACGTATGTTAGTTAAATTTGTCATCTGCCTTTATGTACTTGACTGTGCATTTTTAAAGGGGTCATATGATGCTGCTAAAAAACATAATTTTTGTGTATTTGGTGAAATGAAATGTGTTTATGCGGGTTAAGGTTAAAAAAACACATTATTTTCCACATACTGTACATTATTGTTTCTCCTCTACGCCCCGCCTTTCTGAAACGCGTCGATTTTTACAAAGCTCACCGGTCTGAAAAGCGAGGTGTGCTCTGATTGGCCAGCTATCCAGTGCGTTGTGATTGGCCGAATACCTCAAGCGTGTAACGGAAATGTTATACCTCTACCATACTGTGATGCCCTTTCAGGCCGGAGCGACGAGACAAAAACATTAAAACCCATTATAAACAAGGCATTCGTTGCATCCAGTGGGGAGTGTGATGAATCAGTCATAGACAATACCAGGCAGTCGGCTACCTTATGTAACTGTTTGAGGCTTTGGAGTTAGGTTCACAGAATAAGTTTACCACCTGGTCAACTGTAGTATTTTCACTCTCTGAAAAGATTTTACATGTTCTTCCAACTATTCTTTATTTGTTTTAGACCATGTGGGATCACATCATGTAGTTTGAAATGGTAGCACACACCCTCACGATTCTCAGTGAGGTCATGGAAGATTCCATTTATTATGTTATTTAGTGCTTATGTCATGAAGTAATTAAAATAGGCATAACCTCATCCTCCACCCAAAGACATGATCTGTGTGTGTGTGTTTCTGTGGGTATGTGTGAGTCTTCTCCACCTACAGTTTCACTTATCTCAGAAATGAATCCATCTCTGTCAGCAATGGGGAGGTTCAAATCAATCATCTATCTATCTATCTATCTATCTATCCTTCTGTCTGTCTGTCTGTCTGTCTGTCTATGCATACATGTGCATCAATCTGCCTATTTATCTATATTACTCAAAATGACCTGATCAGCATTTTGAAGCCAAGACGTTTTTCTTACCACTATTACCCAACCCATGCAAAGCATATCATCCGATGAGCACAAATAGCAATGTGGTTGATTGTGTAACGTTTTTGCAACTGTGTAAACAAATCGAACGAAAAGCATTTCTCTTCACTTATTCGCTGTGGGTTTGAGGAGCTTTACGTTACATGATCACCAAGCAATAGTTTCCTGTGACAGAGATAAAGGCAGATGTTTTCAATTGAGCTCGGAAACTGTGTTCATTTACGCTTGGTGGGGTGTGCAGGGGCGCTATTGTTTTTTGATGACTTCCCCTACCCCCATCTACCCCCTTCTTTCGGATAGGCGGCGAATTGAACCCCTGCAGACTAGAGTCCACCTTCAGTTTTTCGGACTTCCTCGAACTTTGTCAAACTTAGCAGTAAGTTTGACGCGCGATCTTTATTCTCTGGCCTCCAGAGGCTGAAATACGGCTCGACTCTTCTCACACTGACTCTGTGTAGGCTTTTGGCTGCTTTGTTTTTAGACAATGAATTGCCAGCCACCTTTCCCTGGAGTACAGTTATCAGTTTTATTTATCATAAGCTTTTCTATCGCTCATGGATATCCGTCAAGTCTGTTTCAAGGCAGCGCATATTCAGGAGCCGTTCACAGACACAGAAATAAGTAAGTTGCTCCAGAAGTGATATGTTTACAGCGTATTCTTGTATGATGTTCCCTGTATCTCAAAATAGACTAATTATTTAACTCACAGCAAACTCCTGGGGTGACATTTTAATGCGTTTGTTTGGTTCTCTGATTGTGGTAAATCGCTAAAGCAACAAGTAACAAGAGGATCGATTTATTGAACATTCCTCCGCTGCGTTTAACATTTCAGTGGTTCTTTTCAGGGTGGTAAAAACATTTGCTTTTATTTTAAAAGAACATAATTTTCACTTTAATTTCACTTCAATCATTTTCACTTTTCAATTTTGTCACATTCCGAGTTTGCTGTCGGCCGTCAGTGATTAAAATATAGTATGAAAAAATGCTCGTTATTTGTTAGGTTTTGCTTTGCACTCAAATTCTTCTTCTTCTTCTTCTTTTTCTTCTTATTTTGAATCTGTGTATTATACAGAAACTGGTGCGCTTTTATTGTCCAAAAGAACGTAAGCTGCGCAGTTCAGGGCAGCGTGGAAAGTCACGTTGAACCTGAAGCCGCGCGCTGTCCCGAGCATCAGCCTGACTGTGAGCCACAAATGATGTAAGTACTCAAGAGACCGGGAGGGGCGTGTGGAAGTACTGATGTTCGGTACTTCTCATGCTCCGAAGACACTATGCCAAATAGCCTACCTACATGATTCACGTTAACTAAACCAATTACACATAGCCCCGGTTTCACAGACAAGGCTTAAGCCTAGTCCCAGACTAAAATGTAGCCTAAATCTTAGCTGTTTCAACAGAAAGAAACTTGCACTGATTGATCTTAAAATAATATCAATGCCTTTGTTTTGTCCCAAGAGGGACATCAGTAATGTTTTTTTTCTTAGGCACGTTTAAAAAAATTACTTAAATGTCCTAATTGAACTATATGGCCTAATCCTGGCTTAGTCTAAGCCCTGTCTGTGAAACCAGGCCATTTAGGCTAATAGAGGACACTAATGGGATTTTGCTTTTATGACGTAAACAAGATCTATAAACAATATGTTAAAGGGGTCATATGATGCTTTTTTAAAGATCATTATTTTGTGTATTTGGTGTAACAGAATATGTTGACATGCTTTAATGTTCAAAAAACACATTCTTTTTCAAATACTGTACAGTATTGTAGGTCCTCTATGCCCCGCCTCTCTCAAACGCTTCGTTTTCTACAAAGCCCCCTCCTTTGACAAGCGCAGTCTGCTCTGATTCAATGGCCAATTTGTTAAAATAATTGCAGCGCAAACACTGAAAAGCGTTCTGGATCAGTGTGTGATTGGAACGGAGTGACAGAGATTTACCCGCCCTGGCCATAGCGTTCTTTAATCACTCTGGATTTTCCAGAACACATATTTTTTTCCGATTTTTTTTTTTCCAGAAAGCACATGTGCTCTGCTCCTCCTCAACAATCACATACTCTGGTCTGGAATGACTCAAACTCAAGCAGAGTTATACAGTAAACTATATCAGTGTTCAATACTAAATATCAGCACTCTAATTGGAAAAAAATGATTTAGTGCTTTAACTTTTAAAGATTTTGCCGATTTTGTGGCAGTGCCAAGAGTTTGGTGCAAGATGTACTCAAGCTGTTTACTTTAGTTGGCTAGCTAACTTTTTGTTTCAGATGTCACTGACAGTAGGTCAGTTTTGCTTATTAATGTAGTAAACAGCTAGATTAAAAGGCACATTGAAGATATTTGCTTAGTCCATTGAAAGTCCTAGTCTGGATTGTTATGACAGAATTGTGATGTTTTATGTAAAATGTTACTCAAACTATTTCACAAACTGAAGTTCCTTATTTCACTACTGCCACAAGAATTTATGTAAGCTGTTGTTTGCTTTAAAAGGCCATTGAGTTAGACTGGTGTTTGATTAATTAAATATGTGGAGACTGGGAGGAATTACAGTATAGGCTATACATTAAATTAAGCATCAAGATTAAATCATTATAATGGCATTGAAACATATACATACACTCCAAAGCTTTTAAAACAGCTTTTGAGTAGCCAGTTTAATATAGATTATATACTTCAGTGATGAATGTTGTATGATTTCATTCTTTTTGTAAAGTCATGTGAGGAATTTATGGCTGCCATATATGGCTTTGTCCAAATACTCACTTCTGTTCTTGAAGCATTTCACCAAGAGGTCTGAAGCAACTGTGATATTAATCGTTTGGCTCAACTTGTTATGGCATAAGAACTAGAATGATTGCACTTCTAATTGCAGCATTATCCATCAGAAGTAACAAGATCAACATCAGCTGGATGTTGACTAGGCCAGAAGACTCTTCTTATTAATCCCTCTCAGTCTGCGCAAGTTAATGCTTGCCTTTACCTTTGCTTTTATCCTATAATAGGGGCAAAGCTTCATGGTCCATTACTCACAGTTCAAAGTAATAGCAATAAGTGGCCTAAGCCTTTAAAGGATGGTGCGAGCAAATCAAGATTGTGGAGTCAAGTTGTTTCATTGTTTGTTTTTGTTTTTCACATTTCAGTTCATGTAAAAGGCCATCTTAATCATGTTTTTTTTCCAGATACCGTACTCGGTTTCGGCCGACTTACAAGATAGCATACAAGACTGTGACTGAGCTAGAATGGAGGTGCTGCCCAGGATACCAGGGCCCAGACTGCAGAGAACTGAAAGGCTCTCCAAATGGACAGACAGCATATCCACAATCGTACCCACAGCCACAGCATGGACAAACTCGACCTGCAATAAGTATGTCATCAGGATATGTTCCAGACATCAAGGAGTATTTGTTTTTAAATGATTAAAATTCCTTAGTTTTTTTTTTAGTTTTTATTTGTATTTTGTTACCACAGGGCCAGAACGTCGAGAAATTGGACAATATGATATCAGACGAACAGCTGACAAAACCCGCATATTGGAGGAAGAAGTGCAGCGCCTTTCACAGACAGTTCTGGATCTTCAAGCAGCCATGACAGGTATGGCTGAGAACCTGAGGACAGACTTACAGGAGGACACCAGCAAGATGCTCATTACCCTCCTCAATGACAGGACTTCACCTGACAGCGCAAGAACAGGAGGCACGGAGGAGAGTGTGGTGCATCTGGATGGCCAACAGGCAATGAGAGGCCACACCCATGGAGAAAGAGAAATGGAGACATTGTTGGCCAGGCTCAACGATATGACAGATGCTCTCAAAAGCAAAGATGAAGCTCTTGAGGAACTGCGGGGAACAGTGACAGGGCATGACAGGCAGATACGAATGCTTATGGATAGTTCCTCTCAAGCCCTACCAGTCACAGGTGCTGCTGCTCCAGATATAGACACCCTTCAGACTTATATTGATGGGAAATTTGAGAAGCTCAAGAAGGAACTTGTTGTAAACATGGAAGAAGAGATGGCCAAGCTGAAAAATGCATGTGATGAAAAGATTCAGTCTCTTCAAAAAACATGTGAAGACGGAAAGGACAGCAGCTATGTGAGCCTTACTGATCTAGTGCACAACAAGGAAGCTGAGCTTAGAAAGGAGATCCGTGAGCTCCGGTTGGATTTGTCCATGTCAGATGGTGTAGTACGCACAAACAGACAAACAACCATTGGAAAAGATGATGGTGACTACGATGACTTGAAGAGGGAACTTATTCGAGTGGCAGAGGCCCATCGTGTCCTTAATGCCAGAGTGGACAATGAGCTAGACCATTTGTCCTCACTGAAGATAGAAGATGTACTCAGTTCGCAATTAGAGGACCTGGAGGACAGGATGAACGTCACTGAGAGGAACGCGGAGACTTATTGCTTCTATGTGGATGAAAAACTTACCAAGGAAATTAAGGATGAAGTAGCTATGCTTCGTCAACTCCTGGATCAGAAACTCAATGCTGTGCAGGATCAGTTCACTTCCATGTTGATCAAAATGAGCAACAACTCCTTCCCGGAAATGTCTAGCGATTCTGTCGATGCACTGCAAATTCAAGTCAATGCTAACAGGTACCTTATAAAGGGGTTGGAGGATAAGTTTAATGCAATTGGGCAGATATGCTCAACCGACTGCAAAACCAACCTACCCACTGATTCCCAAAAGCCAGAAGGTCTGGATAGTCTTGTAAAGGACGTAAGACTTTGTAGAAATGATCTGGATGTCTTACGTTCTGATTTTGTGAACAACATAGCAAGGCTTCAGCATGTGATGAAAAGATTCAGTCTCTTCAAAAAACATGTGAAGACGGAAAGGACATCAGCTATGTGAGCCTTACCGATCTAGTGCACAACAAGGAAGTGGAGCTTAGAAAGGAGATCCGTGAGATCAGATTAGATTTGTCTATGTCAGATGGTCTATTGCGCACAAACCGGGAAACAACCATCGGAATAGATGATAGCGACTATGATGACTTGAGGAGGGAACTTATTCAAGTGGCGGAGGCCCATCGTGTCCTTAATGCCAGAGTGGACAATGAGCTAGAGCATTTGTCCTCACTGAAGATAGAAGATGTACTCAGTTCGCAATTAGAGGACCTGGAGGACAGGATGAACGTCACTGAGAGGAACGCGGAGACTTATTGCTTCTATGTGGATGAAAAACTTACCAAGGAAATTAAGGATGAAGTAGCTATGCTTCGTCAACTCCTGGATCAGAAACTCAATGCTGTGCAGGATCAGTTCACTTCCATGTTGATCAAAATGAGCAACAACTCCTTCCCGGAAATGTCTAGCGATTCTGTCGATGCACTGCAAATTCAAGTCAATGCTAACAGGTACCTTATAAAGGGGTTGGAGGATAAGTTTAATGCAATTGGGCAGATATGCTCAACCGACTGCAAAACCAACCTACCCACAGATTCCCAAAAGCCAGAAGGTCTGGATAGTCTTGTAAAGGACGTAAGACTTTGTAGAAATGATCTGGATGTCTTACGTTCTGATTTTGTGAACAACATAGCAAGGCTTCACGCATTAGAGGATACTGTAAAAATGTCACCTGAAAAACAGTTTATTAATGTACATATACAGGACACCCGCAAAAGAATTAATGCTTTGACTGACAATGTTAATGGCTTGACTGGAACTATAACGGGATTGGGAGACACAGTTAGCAAATTTAGCCAAGACCTTCACACATTGAACTCCTCATGTTGCCAGCAGGTAAGCAGTTCCCCCCTTTGGGTAGAAACTGGTAAACCAAGCCACAACCAGATGAAGGAGCTAAAAGACCAAGTGGATGCACTGAATGCTCGAGTGACCACGGAGTTGAGTGTGTGTAAGTTCAACACAGCTGGAGTAGTTGAAGATGTCTCAGCGGTGGACGATAGGGTGACTGCTCTGGAGAAGATCTGTGGAAGCCTTGATGGTGACAGGAACAATATCCAGGGCCTTTCAGGGGAATTGGAGAGTAAGGTGGCACAGATGAACAGCACTCTGGGCAGTCATTCAGGAGCGATCACAGCTCTTCAAAACTCCCTCCTGAATTTTCAGAGTCAGCTAGCAGGAATGGCTAAGCAGATCCATAAGGACCATGCTAGTAGAGATCAAGGTAAGCTTTCATGTTTTAGTGGCAAAATGAGGGAGCCACAGAAACCTGTTTTTATGTTTTTAGCCAGTTAGTGTTGGGAAATGGAACAGTCAACAAATACAGTCTTTGTATTTGCCTTCCCATTTGTAACCACCAATTTTTATTTTGATTACATCTTTTGGGATTTGCTACCAAATGGTATTTTTAGTAACCTAACAGTTTGGGGTATGTTGCATGCTATGTTTTGCAGTGTATCCTTTCTCCATATTGAACCAATAATACAATAACCTGTATGCCCCCAAGCCGTTGAGAGGCAGGGGGCCAGCAAAGGTTTCCTGTGCCTTTTGTATGTGCCTGTAATATGTTAAAACAACAGTTACGCACTTTGGAATGGATCCCTTTGCTTTTTATGTTCACAAATTCATAAGTAACATGGTCAAGCATCTTTTTTATTTTGTTAACAACATTACATGTCTCTTGATAGCATGAGTGATTTCCTATTCATTAATTTAATGCTAAAATGTGTAAATGACTTTACTTTGGTCCTTACCAGTACATTTGAACCTATTTCAAAAAAATATCTCTGTACATATACTGTCTTTAGTGTTCAGTGGTTTTATGAGTGGAGGAGTTGTGTGGTCTATCTTTTTGTCATGCCCAGCTTTCTCCGCCTATAACATTTAGAACTGGCGAGCGAGTTCAGTTGCAGGCAGGTCTGGTACTCATTAAGCTCCAAAGTCAACTTGAGGGCCTCAGGAGGTGATGAATTCCCACACCCCTCTGCAGATGTTCAGCTATGAGACGACTGTGATGTCACTAGAGCACGCAAATTCTCTTAAACTCCCATTGAAGGGTGATGTCATCATTCCTGATAAGGGTGGAGGTCCGTCTTTTGCAAAAACAAAAGCTGTTTTCCCAAGAACTGTCTAAATAGTAACTGTGCCAAAGCGGCCATTGTTAAAGATCTATATATATATATATTTAAATGTAAGGGACTTTAACATTTATGCAGTGCCAATGCACAATAAATGTCATTTAACCTCAAATAATGAATGAAAAAACTTCCAGCACTAATTATTCAGTAGTGCAGTAACAACTTTCTGGAATATAGGCCTACATCCAGTGCAAAATAAGCCAGTTTAGCATATTTCTTTTTAGTGAATCAAAAGCATACAGCGCAATGTGTAGTCCGACTCCCTATGAATGACTCTTTTCACTCGGTTCTTTTTAGTGACTCAAAAGCATACAGCTTTTGATTCCTGAATGAATGATTCTTATGAGCTGGTTCTTTTTTAGTGAATCAAAAGTATACAGCACAACCTATGTAATCCAACTCCTGAGCAAATGACTCTTATGATTATTTTTAGTGAATCAAAGACACACATTGCAACCAGTGTAGACTGCCGAACTAATGACTCTTATGAGCCGGATTTTTTTAGTGAATCAGACACATACAGCTGAATTATGAGACTTAAATCGTCTGGTTGTCGATATGACAATGTGTAATTAAGGATGTACATAATGAGTTTTAAAAAATAATGTTACCTCAGATTTTGTTTGTTTAGTGTTATGGTTTAATATATAGTAAAACATCAAGGACAACTAGATTAAAAAGTTTGTAGACAAACTTTAAGTTGGCTTGAAAAAGCCTAGCTAGAAAGTTTGAAAAAGTTTGAAAAGCTTGCAGTCTGAAAGTTTTCAGTTTGAAAGTTAAAATAGTTTTAAAGATTAAAGTTTGAATGTTTTCAAGGCAATACAGTCTATCAGAAAAACAGATAGGTATAAAACATATTGCTAGGGTTGATAAGAAGTCACAGCCAATAAGTGATAAGAAGTCACAGCCAATAAGAGTGCTTGTTATTGTGTGACGTCAGTCAATGATCGCTCACTGAAGAGAAGGGAGCATCAAGTGTTCTGAGGCTGAACAAGAACGATAATTTTCCATAAGGTGGACATTTATTTCGTGAGTCATTGAAACAATACCACATCTATACAAATGTCCACAACCTGTGCCTAAACAAGAAATGCCCTGTTGTCTGACTGTGCTGTCAATTGCTGTGCGAGTTTTCGCGGAAATGAGGAGGAATTTCTGGATACTAAGAGGACGTGAAGCTATCCGCAAGCATCAACATCTATGCAGAGACTGTCAAAGGTGGAAGAACAAGCCGATTATTCCCAAAATGGCAGATCTACCGCCCGCCCGCTTGAGACTCCATAAACCACCATTCTACAGTACTGGCATGGACTGTTTCGGGCCATTCCAAATTAAGATCGGCAGACGCAGTGAGAAAAGGTGGGGGATAATCTTTAAGTGCCTCACCACAAGGAGTGTACATCTAGATCTTCTCACTTCAATCGATAGAGACTCATTCCTGATGGCCTTAAGGAGGTTTGTAGCTCGGCGTGGCACACCATTCGAGTTAATATCAGACCAGGGCACCAATTTTCGTGGCGGAGAACGAGAGATGCAAGAAGCCTTTTCAGCCCTCAGCCCTCAGCTACAACAACAGCTGGCCAAACAGAAAATATCCTTCCGCTTTAACCCACCAAATGCTCCACACTTTGGTGGGGCTTGGGAAAGAGAGATTCGGTCAGTGAAGAATGCCCTGCGCACCACCATTGGCTCACAAGTAGTGACCGAAGAGGTCCTTCTGACAGTTCTCATTGAAGTGGAAGGTATACTCAACAGTAAACCACTAGGATACACCTCAAGCAACGTAGCTGACATTGATCCTGTAACACCTAACTACTTGCTCATGGGGCGGCCAGATAGTTCCTTGCCCCCTGTAGTCTATCCAGCGACTGAGCTCACGGGGCGGAGGCGGTGGAGGCAAAGTCAGGTACTGGCTGATCAGTTTTGGTCAAGCTTCATCCGCAACTATTTACCTACTCTACAGTCTCGTTCCAAGTGGCATTCTGATGAAAGTAACATTTCCACTGGAGAGATAGTGATGCTTGTAGACCCACAGGTTCCTCGTGCCTTGTGGCTAGTGGGCAAGGTTGTGGAAACCTTTCCTGGTTCAGATGGCCAGATCAGAGCAGCAGAGATCAAAATTAATGATAAGATCTACACCCGACCTGTTGCTCGTTTGATCCCACTTCCTGCTTTCTCAGACAAGGACGTACCTGTTAAAGACTTAGCCCCCACAAACTGATTAAGCCTACTAAGGGGCAAATATGCTCCGCATATTTGGGGGCGGCAGTGATAAGAAGTCACAGCCAATAAGAGTGCTTGTTATTGTGTGACGTCAGTCAATGATCGCTCACTGAAGAGAAGGGAGCATCAAGTGTTCTGAGGCTGAACAAGAACGATAATTTTCCATAAGGTGGACATTTATTTCGTGAGTCATTGAAACAATACCACATCTATACAAATGTCCACAACCTGTGCCTAAACAAGAAATGCCCTGTTGTCTGACTGTGCTGTCAATTGCTGTCAATTGCTGTCAATTGCTGTCAATTCTCAATCACTTATTAAAATCTAGAACTGAATCCTGCCTCCGGTGTCCTTACCGACACACCAGTGCGAACACAAACCCACTTGAACTGATGCACATTCAATTCTAACTAATCCTTTTCTACAAGGGTACCTGGGGTGGTTGCTAGGCTGTTTCTAGCATGACTAGCATGTTGCTAACATGTTTTTAGCATGATTATCATGTTACTAGCATGTTATTAACATGATTAGCATGTTGCTAGCATGATTAGCATGTTACTAGCATGTTTCTAGCATTATTAGCATGTTACTAGCGTGTTGTTAACATAATTTGCAAGTTACTAACATGTTGCTAGCATTATTAGCATGTTACTAGCATGGTGTTAACATTTTGTTAGCATGATTAGAAAGTTACTAGCATGTTTCTAACATGATTAGCATGTTACTAGCATTTTGTTAGCATGATTAGCATGTTACTAGCATGGTGTTAACATTTTGTTAGCATGATTTAGCAAGTTACTTGCATGTTGTTAGCATGATTAGCATGTTACTAGCATGTTGTTAGCATTATTAGCAAGTTACTAACATGTTGCTAGCATGATTCTAGCATGATTAGCATTTTACTAGTATGGTCTTAGCATTTTGTTAGCATGATTAGTGTTGTAAAGTTTTTGTCCCTAAGCTGCACCCTCAAAGCAGTGCCACACCCCCCTTAGCTTGTTCAGTTCCCTGTTAGCCCCAAGCTCCACCCACCCAATCTCAAGCCAATTAGAGCTATCTCACAGACTTTATTAGCTGCACCTGTGTCCACAGCTTGTGCCTTTTTGTTGCATGTGGTTGTACTGTTGTACTGTACTCCTTTCATTCTGTTTTTCCTGCATGTGCGTAATTGACCATAAACCACACGCACATCTACATGCACAAAACTCCTTGGATGTACAATAAACTTTCCTATACCTGGTTTGACTAGACTGGACCTGTTCTTACCGACAGCCTCACTGGCTTCAAGCTAGCTACCTAAACATCTGCCACCCCCTTAGTAGGTTCCTCCTTTTCAATTAGCAAGTTACTACCATGTTTCTAATATGATTAGCAAGTTACTAGCATGTTGTTAGCATGATTAGCATGTTACTAGCATGGTGTTAACATTTTGTTAGCATGATTAGCAAGTTACTATCATGTTTCTAGCATGATTAACATGTTACTAGCATGTTGTTAACATGATTAGCAAGTAACTAACATTATGTTAACATGATTAGCAAGTTACTTGCATGTTGTTAACATGATTAGCATGTTACTAGCATGATTCTAGCATGTTTGGCATGTTACTAGCATGATGCTAGCATGTTTCTAGCATGTTTAACAATTTGCTAGCATGTTTCAAGCATGATTAGCAAGTTACTAGCATTTTGTTAGCATGTTTCTAGCATGATTAGCAAGTTACTAGCATGTTGTTAGCATTATTAGCAAGTTACTAGCATGTTGCTAGCATGATTAGCATTTTACTAGCATGATTCTAGCATGATTAGCATGTTACTAACATGATGCATGTTTAACAAGTTGTTAGCATGCTTCTATCATGATTAACACATTACTAGCATGGTGTTAGCCTTTTTTAACATGATTAGCAAGTTACTAGCACGTTTCTAGTATGATTAGCATTTTACTAGCATGTTGTTAGCATGATTAACAAGTTACTAGCATTTTGTTAGCATGTTT